CCCCAAAAAAAAAAAACCTACCTCCGAGTGGGATATATTGGGATGTTTGGTTTGCTTTAGGTAATATTGTCCCAAATATTCAACTGCGCTTGATCATGTTTTCTTTAAATTGGTGAAAACAAGCAAGAAAGTTCTTAAAATGGCTAACATATATCATGTCGGAAAAGCGATCTGTTTTGCTTAGATAGCAAACACGGACTGGATGCAAAAGTACCATAGTCCTTGATGCTCTTTGCTTAAGTTATAAACCATCACGGAAGTAGTGACCCAGGTCAAATGTGAATTGCTTGCATCAGTCTTCATACACAGGGTTTCCTTCTGTCGTTGACTATGAACATTAGGTATGTTCCAAAATTCACAAAAAATAAACACATTTCAAAAGGTTTGTTGTAAAAATATAGTCATGTGCTGACATTGTCGTTATAAATAATTAGATGCAATTGTGAAATAATCATAAATAAAGCACAGCAAGCAAATTGTTACAATCATCCGAGCACAGTGACCTAAATGTTTAGCTCAGAAAGTTGTATGCCATATGGCATGCTGACTCAGCAAAAACATAGTTTTTTTTTAACAGTTCTTCAAGGGAGTGGTCCAAATGTTAGTGTTGTATAGTTAAGTGACTTGATAGTTAGATTTGAAAAACCTAATTATTAGTTTCATAGAAGTGCAATTACTAATATAGGGTTTTCGCTTTCAAAAACAATTCAACATATCATATGGATTAATTCTTGGTAAGTCCTAAAATTTGTAATTGCAGTCAAAATTCATGTAATGAAAATTTTCAATAACTAATCTTATCAGCTGAATGAGGAACTGATTCGAACTGTATTTAGTTATTTATTATAACATAACTACCCCTGGACATTCAGTAGTCTCCCCAGATGGCGCATGCCTGCCTGTTGTGCCAATGCTGTTCGCTTGGCAACCTAAATCCATTCTTAAATCACATCTTCCAACCCTCCCCCAAATGCACCAATGACACCACAAACAGATGATGGGCGAACAAAAGGACCACTGTCTTTTCCTGTGGAGCTTTTTTCACTCAAGCAGTTTGAATTAAAGGCTGAATACATCCAAACTAAATTATCAATTGCATTGTAAGTGTAGCTGCACTCCTGCACACTTAATAATAAGCTTAACTGTATTCATTCAGCATTCCTAAAGAGTGCGACTGCATGTATTGATGTCTATTTGCATCTCCCCAGTCAAGTCAACGTCTTCTCACTCCTACAAAGGTTTCTACTAATGATATCCTGCACTCACTTCACTCTTGCAAATTGACCACCAGACATTGAGCAACAATCTACAACCACATACTAGGACCCTTAATTTGCAAGAAGTAAAAGCTAAACATTCAATGTAAATATTCATCAACCAATACTCGATGTTCCCATTGATGGATTATACAAATCTAGCTTATGCACCACAATTTATGTCCACTTCATCAAAATCTTGATTCCACACAAAGGGACTAGTATAATGTAAGATGATGCGAGAGACTCAGATATGCTACTCATGATTACATATTTCCTTAATATGTTCACATGTTAAAGTTTGACAGTCATTGTAGAATGGAGCCATGGAGGGAATAACATATCTGGATAACCAAATGAAACGCTACAAGAACAATAACCATCAAAAGTGTCATCAATAAGTTGCTTCATCTGACATGATGTCGAATTATAGGGGTGAACTTGTAACAACTGCTACTGACACTCCTTTCTGTAAAGGCGGCTTACAAAAGGCGTTCCTCCCCAAATTGGTGCAAATAAGTGAGAACTTGATTCAATTTCTTCATGCAACTGTACTTAGATCCATGGCAAGGATAAACTTCCATATTCGATACACACCTACTACAGTCATCAATCAACGCTATGATTTATATTAAACTAACTGAAATAGACGAATCCAGAAACCCCAAAGTTATACAACAAAACTTATAATAAATAACAGCAAAACAAAATTTAACACAACACCAGAGACAGGAACCCTAGATCGTGTCAACATTTACTTAACTACTGAGGGAGAGAGAGAGAGAGAGAAAGACCTGAACTGCGCTGTGAAAAATGCCGCCGAGACCGATGCCGTCTTTGAAAATCTTGTTGATCTGAACGATGGTGTTGTTAGTATTATCTGAACCACTATTCGTCACATCATATATATGGAGCATAACCTCCGTCATCTCCCCTGCTTTCTCTGTGTACCCGATCCACAAACCCTAACCCCTTTCTCCCTTGATTCAAAATAAATTCTTCCGTTCCAAATTTGAGAACAACAAAAACAGATCGAAATATATGAACATTGATCACAGATTCATCATCATCACGACCAGTAACTTCAATCAAAGGGTTTCCTTTTCGCTATTGCAGCGTCACGAGTACAAACGTGGTTCAATTATGAGTAAAAGTGAGAGGATTGCTGCATTTGTGTCTCGAATTCCTAAATTTCTATTTATTTATATTATATAAAGCATTTGATAAAAATTCTTAAAAATATTTTTTCATGAATGAAATACTGTTTATTGATGTATATTATTTAAAATTTAAGATTACAAGTAAATTGTATAATTGAATTCGTCTAACTAACTACAGATAAACATAATCAAATATTGGATAAATATTTTATTTTAAATATAAAAAATCTAAAGTATAATTAGGATAATCATTGACAACTAACAGAAAACTTAGTTATTATCTTTATAAAAAATTATATTATTACACCTAAATCAAATTTCTTTGTTAGTAAACATAAATTATCTATACTATATTATAAAATATTTGACAAAAACTCTTAAAACGTTTTTTTATGCACGAAGTACTATTTATTGATGCATATTACTTAAAATTTAAGATTACAAGTAAATTGTGCTTAAGTACAACTTATTAAAGCTCCATATTTGAATTCGTCTAACTAACTGCAGATAAACATAATCAAATATTGAATAAACATCTTATTTTAAATATAAAAAATCAAAATATAATTAAGATAATCATTGATAACTAACAGGATACTTAGTTATTATCATTATAAAAAATTATATTATTAAACCTTAATTATCTATACTATATTATAAAATATTTGACAAAAACTATTAAAAACGATTTTTTATCTATAATATACTATATTATAAAACATTTGACAAAAACTCTTAAAAACTATTTTTTATGCATAAATTACTGTTTATTGATGCATATTACTTAAAATTAAAGAGTACAAGTAATTTTTTCGCAAGTACAACTTATTAAAACTCTATTTTTAAATTCGTATAACTAACTGCAGATAAACATAATCAAATACACGATAAACATCCATTTTAAACATAAAAAATCTAAAATATAATTAAGATAATCATTAAATTCTATCTGTTTAATTATTATATTTATAAAAAATTATATTATTAAATAAAAAATAAGTTGTTTTGTTATTAAATTTGAAGTAAATAACTTATACCAAAGAAACAAAACTATTAAATAGTTAATTTGATACTAATATCGACTTATTTTTTTTTCAAAATTTTATGCTATTTTCAAATTTATATTAATTCAAAAATAAAAACATTATCGGTTTCTCAAAACCACATAAAATCGTATCATATCGATATAGATAAAGAATAAAAACTAAACATTAAAATCGAGATTTATCTCGCTACATTGTGCTAGTACCATTCTAGTTTAATTAGATAAAAACCTTTTTATTTTAAATAATTAAATATTTAAACTTCTTTTAAATAGATAAATCATCAAACTAATAAAATTTGGTAATCTATGCTCTTTTGATCCAAAAAACCTATTGTTGAGCAGGAGGATTGATTGCAGGGACCAATAATATTGATGGACAGTATGGAGAACAGACAACAATGAGGCGATGAGTAATGACGAGGGAGACCAACATCGTTATGTGTAAAGACATAGCATTTGAGAACGGTAAACTGATTTGGGTTTTTTACTCTAAACCTTCTTAGTTAGTTAATACACCAAAAACCATTTGGTTGCAGTTCAATTTAATGGAATCGTGTAATTTTATTTAAGTTATTTATAAGTGATATTAAAAAATAAATAAACCATAAAAGTGGTGTCTGATTAGTTTGAACTTAGATTTCAAAGGTTAAAAATGCCTAAAAGTCCCAAGTTTAATCAAAAGAGAAATAAAAATCTCCTAGAAGATTCAAACGTGGTGACTCCGGACTACCCACAAAACAGGATGTTACCTTGAGATTGGTCGGCTAGCATAACGGGTTGTATATCTAGGTTGATAAAAAAAGTATAAAAATATCGAGCGGAGATGCTCTAAATGGTCAAAACAGACGCAAAAGATTGGTTATCAAACAATCATTTTTCATTAGACTTCAGCTTAAAATGAAAGGCTTTCGACCACAAGGGTGTTGTCTGATTGGTTTGAGTTTGGCTCCAAATGTCAAAAGTACAAGGAGGTCCCAGGTTCAAATCCAAAGAGGAATAAAATTCCCTTCTCCGGGCTATCTGCAAAGCAGGTGGTCGCCCTAGGATTAGTCCGCTCGTACAGCGAGTTGGACATCCAGGTTAATAAAAAAATAAAAAATGAAAGCCTTTCATCATAACCAGAAACTTTCATCAGAATGCATACATCCCTGTAAAATTTATGGACTATCGGTTACCACTAAACGAACACACTTCAAATGACCCAAACAAATGGACCATCGGTTACCGACCATCATTGGTCATCAACTGAGAAAAAACTTGGCTCGTTCTAATGCCCGAAACCGAACCATCAACGTTGCTAGACCCACCACCGGCTGCAATCTCCGGTGCACCAGTGTGGTTGCTGCTGGTTGCACCCACGGTTTCCGTCTCTTGAAGCTGAAGTGCATATTCCAAGTTCCACAATACATCACCCATAGTTGGTCTATCGACACCATAATCCGCCAAACATTTCTCGGCCGTGTCCCCATATGTTTTCAACGACTCCGGTTTTATTTGGTCAGCGATCCGTGGATCTATGATCTTCTTAAGCAACCCCTTCCTCTGCCACTGAACCGCCCACTCGCCTAAGTTGACCTCCTCCCGGCCCAGCAATGGGTCGACAGCAGGCCGAGCACATAGCACTTCAAAAAGAACGACCCCAAAAGAATAAACATCCGATTTATCAGTAAGTTGTTGTCTTCGAAAGTATTCAGGATCTAAATACCCGAAACTACCCTTCACGCCAGTGCTCACATGGGTCTCACTCAAACACGGACCCGACCGTGATAGCCCGAAATCCGCCACCTTGGCGAGATAAGTTTCATCAAGCAATATATTGGTCGACTTAACGTCCCGGTGAATTATACCTTGGGCCGAGCCGGTATGAAGATAGTGAAGCCCGCGTGCAGCCCCAACACATATTTCAAGTCGTTGCTTCCACGATAATGGCGGTAAATTCGATCCGTATAAATGATTCTTCAAAGGTCCTTTTTCCATATACTCATATACAAGGATCATTTCCGACTGTTCTTCACAAAAACCGACCAAAGAAACAAGATGTCGGTGTCGGATCTTGGACAAAATAGTAATTTCGGTATGGAATTCCGGGAGCCCTTGTCGAGAACCAGGGACACCTCGTTTGACCGCAACTTTAAAGTTGTCGCGAAGAACGGCTTTGTAGACCATACCAAATCCTCCTGAACCAATTATCAGATCTTTGTCGAAATTATTCGTTCCAGATTGTAAATCAACGAACGGGATCTTCAATTTTCCGACATTATGTGTTCCTTCGGAAAGTTTACTATGTGAACTCCCTCCATAAACACGTAACGGTGTCCAACCGTTGCTTTCCGCTCTTCTCGTCTTTCTTCTAGTCTTCTTCCTGAAAAGAATCAAGATTGCTAACACAGCACAACTAACAACAATCAAGCTTCCTAAGATCAAACAGATCAAAACCCAAATGTTCTTCTTTTTCGGCCAAGATTTCCGACCAACAGGATTCACTATCTTCATGATTTCGACACCATTCAATATCGCATTCTTTTTCAAACTAGTACTCAGATCAGAAGGGCCAACACTGATTTGCAGAACCCCGGAACTATCGGAATCAACAACAAAATCGGCATAGAAAGGCGATGCAAGAACATGAAACGAAAGCACAGAAAGATCAAGATCTTTGTAAGCCAAGAACCCATTGATGTACACATTAAAGTACAACTGATTTAGCGAAAAACTAACGATATCGCAAAAATGTAATCGAACAAAATATCGAACACCATTTCCTGAATCAATCGGAAAACCCCATGTTAGATTGAAAAACGAATTTAGAGTCACATTATCTCTGTTCATCTCTTGGGCAGTCATATAAACATTATATGGAGCAACTTCTTTCGTAGCACCACCCTTTTGATAATTTGGGGATTGAGTGGTGGTTGCGATTTTTGCAGATGATTTTATAGATAAAAATTCTTCATCAGGGATCCAAGTTCTCCAAAGGGTATCGTTAAATGGTGTTAATCTCGAACCTCCTACGTTGATTCTATGAACAGTTTCTAGAATCTGTGAAGCAAGATTCTTGAATTCTTGAATTCCATCAACACCAACCGATTTAGCTCCACCATCAACAATAAGATCATTTGGAGCAGAGAACACTTCGATTGCGTTCACAAACGCAAACCCAGATTTCCCAAGAGGATCAAATGTTATTTCGAGACGAATCTTATCTACCATGAGTATGAACTCCTTAACAACAGTGAATTCAGCACGAAAGTTGTTCAAAATCAAAAACCCATTTGCAGAAACACTGAAATTCGAACTGCTCAGCTTATAATTCTGAGAATCGAGGGGAGAAAAGTGGAAACGTACCAAATGGGTTCCAGTTTCATTGATGTTAAATCCATAACTCGACACACTGTTGAAAACCCTCGCAGTGGCGTAAAGCTCCGACGAATTCCGATTCGGATTTGGGATTGCGAGAGTGATTGATTTGCCAGAAGATAGAAAACCGGAGCCGGGTTTGATCGAATCCCCGACGAACTCTCTGCCGGCGACCATGGCGTTTGTGTTTGAACCGCAGTTAATAAGGAAATTGTCTTGAGGTGTGAAAGCCATAGAAAAGGTGAAGAAGGAAGACAGAAATAGGGTTAGTATGGAAGAATGAATGAAATGTGTAGCCATTTTTGTCGAAAAAATCTGTGGGTTTCTTAGGTATAGAGAGAATGGGAGCATTTTGAGAGAGGATTAGGGAGAATTTAGACAGAGAAAGTGAGCCATTGAAAGAGCAAAAAGGAGAGTATGGTGGGGGAGTAAAGAAGGGTTGAAAAATGGGTGAAAAGTTGCGGATGAACAGAGATGGGTTTTGACGATGCACATGGTGTTTTTGGAAAATTTAAGAGACAACAATGGAGACGATGATTAATGTAGATAATGATTTGTGAGCTGCAATTTTTCGTCCAAATAAGTAAATAACTACTCATATAAAATTTACTTTTTAAAAAAAATAATATAAATTTATTTAAAATAGTATTTCTTTTGCAATTCTTTTCACTAAAAATTATCTCAGATTTAATAAAAACATTTTGATTATTTGTTATTCAACTCAATTTTATCGCATCACTCACCACATCAATATGATAACTGATTACCCGGATACTTAAACGTTTAAAACTTTATATTTTAAATATAAAAATGATTTTTTTTTGAAAATACATTGCCTAAAATATGAATCAAGTTAAACTAATACATGTTTAAATTTTCTCTCTCGATTTTTGGACCAAAGTAATTAAAAATTGTCATATGCTAATTGTATGTTTTTATATATATATATATATATATATATATATATATATATATTTATATTCAAATTTAAATATTTTAAATAAACGCAGGGATTTTGTATTTTTCTTTGGTTTATGGAGTACTTTTGGTTTGGTCTTATACTAAAATACAAATACTTATCGATTATAAATTTAGATTCTCATAGTTATACAAGTTACACTCATATTTCGTCAATTTTTTATTCAAATTGTATAACATAATTTATCAATAACACCGGTTAAATATAAACGTTGTTAAAATTCTTATAACCATAAAAATTCACCTATAATAATTACAGGTTATTCATCATCACCCAAATGATGAGTCAGCACACATAAATTATCTAGAAACATACGGTCACCTAAAAATAAAAAACTTTATACAAATATATATATATATATATATATATATATAGAGAGAGAGAGAGAGGAGTGATCATATGAAAACCGCCTTCATTTGTGTAAACCGTGCAAACCACCTTCATCTGTCGATTTCATTGTTTAATCTTATGAAAATTTTTCATGAAATTGTTTAATCTTGTGAAATTGTTTCATATAATACTTTTTTTG